TGTTGTTTAGCTATTGTCATCATACTGAACTTCCGTAGTAACACGCGGGGTTTCACCTAGTATATAGATTGTTAGTCCCTCCATGGTGTTACTAGTTTTAGTGTAAGAATTTTATATATTAATGAGCGGAGTAACTACATATGTGTGTATCCTATATATTAATTTCCAGTCAAATAAAAAAGTGATAATTGCATATTTACAAGGATGTCTTTCCATTAAGGCATAGTAGTAATCCTATTGATCGATCAGGTAGTTTGCCGGATACTACTAGCTAGTAGTGATATATCTGCAGGTTTGCTAGCTAGCTTGTGAATGAGTGATGGGAATGAAGACGGATAACATTGGGGATAAGAATTGCTACGTGGTGTTCAACTCCCAAAGCCATCACAGCCTATATATATCATGCATATATCTCAACAACCAGGTAAGCAGGCATGCATATGCAACTTTATGTGTGTGTATACATGTGGCAATATACTCCTATATACTCCCTCCTTCCCTAAATGTTTGACGCCGTTGACTTTTTTAAACATGTTTGATCGTTTGTCTTATTCAAAAACTTTAGTGAAATGTGTAAAACTATATGTATACATAAAAGTATATTTAACAATAAATCAAATGATTGAAAAAAAATTAATAATTACTTAAATTTCGGTCAAACATTTTTAAAAAAGTTAACGGCGTCAAATATTTTGGGATGGAGGGAGTATATGCATATGCTTGTGCATTTTGCATCTACTTTTTTGAAGCCGTTTGATGTGAACGTATTATGTATATTGTTGGCCAAGCTATGGGCGGTCAAACTATGCTCCATCCGTGTAGACAGTTCAATTCCTCTCTCTCTCTCTCTCTCGATCAAGTGATAACTGAGAATTTTCTTACGTGGAACCACTTGGAATATACACATGTGGACTGCCAATCGGTTTACCAGCTGCCGAGACCTACAACGACAAAGCATATACTTTCCTGGTCCACAGAATTGTTCTTCTATTGATAGAACAAATTAAATTAACGGTCATTTTTTTCGCCAAAACTTTCAGATTTATAACCTTAGGATCGTCTCGAGATTTATCCATGAAGAAAAAAAATTGCTAGAGATTAAGAATATTTCACACATGTCATGCGTAAGACCCCGGTGCTAAGCCAATCAAATCATAGTTGAATACAAATATTATAGGAGTATAAGTTATATTGTAGTTACAATGCAGTTACAGTGCAGTTACAATGTAATTACACTTCAATTATACTATAGTTACATTTGAAAGTTTTACATTCAAAAATCTTACAACAATTTTTTAGATACTCCCTTAAATTAAATAGGGTTGAGAAAACAGCTTTGCTATTAGTCGATCGATATATCATTGCCTAAACTTTTCTTAGTGTCAATCGCCTAAACGTATTTGCGGTCTGCGGATAACCTAATTAAACTTCATGCACATGATATGTAAAAAAAATTAAATCAACTTTGTTGTGACCATATATCATCATTATGGGTTCTGGGCTTCTATATATGGCGATGCACATTATTATTGTCACGAGATACTTTTGCCGACGTGTCATCCGTGACGAGCCTTATGACGCTAGAATTTTGTCACATAACTTGTTCTATGACAAAGCTAGGACTTCACTTTGACATTTTGAGATCACCATCAAATGTCAAATTTCTTGTAGTGTTATACCGTGTAAATTTTTAACTCAAAAGAAAAGGAAAACAACATGTAGATAAAACTTCTCAGGCCTTCTCGAGTTCTGGTTGGCACGAGGGATAAGGGGATCCGTTGAAAAGGCTCTGTCTCTCGTCGTTGTGAAGTAAGTTGTTGGGTTTTCTCAAAAGTCTTTCAGGTTTTAAATGTATTAGATAGTCTAGGGTTAGTCTTTCGTCTATGGGTTAAATATATTTAGCATCTTGCTTTTTCTATCTCTTTATCAATGACTTCTCCCTTTGTTAGGATCACGGGGAAGACCTAGGTCTTGTTTGCTAGGTTACCGATGATCCAACCAATGATGCCAGATTTAGGATTCTTGTGTAACGGGGTTACTGATGATCCAACCGGTGACATCAAATTTTGGGTTTGGGTTGCCAACTTGTTCGGTAATGCTTGTTTGCTGACTATCAAAGAAACTAAAATGGTGGCTGATGCTCATTCATATGCTTTCACTTGCGTTGGAGTTGGTCAATGTTATGGCTGCACTTATCTGCTCATATCTTTTGTAACCATCCAAGATATGCAATGTCTTTGTTATGCTTATCAAGTTTTATATTTCTCTTTATCGCAAGAATATGTTTGCGATCTCCTCTCTTATTTAATATGTTTGGTCCTGTTTTGCGATAATGGTGCGTTAGTTTTTTCGTTTAGTTTTTTCCCTAAAAGACCCTATATTTTAATTAATTAGGTTAGAACCTTTTTTTTCATTTTGTAGATGCCAGAAGTAAGTGATTTAACAAGTGAGCTTTTGGATGTTGGTTTGATTTCGTTATCAAAATAAATTTAAGAAATACCACTAACCTACAACAAAAATAGTAAACAGAAATGCCAACCACCATCGTTGTCAGGATCGAATTTCCTTTTCTTAAAATGACCCTTGGTTATAATCGACCAGCCTGATCATATAGGAGTAGCAATATAAATTTGACTTTTTCACAGTTTCTCTGAAACATACATATGATTGCTGACTGCAGGATGCAATGCATCGACACATGGTGATGGATTTCATCACAGATAATGAACTGATACTCCTAAGCAAAAGGGATCGAGCACCCTATCACCGATGGGAGCCATCCACGTGTCGCCCATCCGTGGAAGTATTCCCTTTGACAAATGGTCTGATTTTGACGCGAGGAACAAACGCTGACGTGTCACAAAATTATCAGTAACGGAATGGAATTTCAGCAGAAAATGACCATGAACAGACGCCTACGTGGCGGCACGCCACTGGCTGGGCAATGGAATTATGTAGGCTACAGTAGAAGATGGTCTACGCTGACTAGGAGGGAAAAAATTGTTCTCTGGTCCTCTGGACCAACGTCGCCTTTCGATCTCTCTCCATCGAGAATCTCTAACGAACTACTGATATAATATATACTTTACCCATTATTGGTGCAGATCTTTTCCAATTCTCTCACTGCAATTTTTTTTTTCTGAAAAATTCTCTCCTCCAATATATATAATCATCAAAAATAAACCATCAAGGTCAGGTGAATTAATGAGCATATATACTGCCTATGTTTTACTAAAATATAAGCATTTCTAAGCTTTTTAATGAAATTAAGAATAAGTGAAAAGGACTTCTAGATGCTGTGCATTTAAATTATGTTCGGAGAATGAGAGATAGTTAGGGGTAAAATTAGATGTAAATTAAATAAGCAGTTGTTCGGTGGGGAAGTAACTGTATTTTGGCATAAATTTTTAAACACGGATCATATAGCTACTCCATCCATTTCAAAATACAAGGTACAATATTTTTTTCCGATGTTTCATAATATAAGTCTCATACAATTAATTAGCACATTACTATTTCCTAAATTTGTTTCTTTAATCACCACTCCCAAGATCTTTAATTCCATTAATTGAATACATCATCACATGTATTGTATTTATTAAGGTATCAAACAAAGATGTGATAATTAGTATTTGTGTTAGTGATGGTTATATCTTATCTTTTGTGATAGAGGGTAGAACGGAGTGAGCATTCCTGATTGTACATGGAGCTTCAAATATCAGTAGATATTTTCTGTACGGGATATATATGGCCATAGCTACCAGAGAAGTCGATCAAGTTGGAATTGACGATGACATAGTTTATCTAATTTATATCCTTCTCATTGTGATAATGAAGTGTGTTAAGTTAAGCCTATCTTATCATAAGGAGTATGATGAATTTTAGGAGTAAATTTCACATAAACCCATAAACTGGGACACTTTGTTAGATGATGATAATTTTGAGAAAACTTTAAAAATCTTAGGTGATGATCAAACTGGGATAGAGGAACTATATCACAAAACTATAGATTTATTGATAAATTTATCACAAAATTACAAATTTAATTAAGGCCAAGTATCACAAAATTACATATTTAATATTGAAATTATCACAAAACTACAGATTATAGAGTTTAAATCCCTAGCACCGCGGTTATGTTGGAGCTATAAACGTTGCAGTTTTATGATTAAATTGGCACTAAAACATTTAGTTTTGTGATAAATTTGCTATTAATATTTATTTTTGTGACACGTCATTTTAAATATATATAGTTTCATGAGAAATTCCATGCTAAATCTGCAGTTTTGTGATACAACACACACTATAAATATATTTTATAGTTTTGCGATAGTTTGATCGAGTATCTATAGTTTTGTGAAATTTTATTTATTTTTAATTTAAGTTGCAAACAAGCTCCTTTACCAGCACGTTGGACTTGGACGTTTGGCTTGCCACTTCCCCCTCTTGTCTTGATGAGCACAGATCGATTTATATTTTATTCAGCACAGATTTGGATCACGCTTCCCCTGCAAATCTTCAATCCGATCTCTGCAAGACTGCTACTGCAATACGGAGTAGACCTCCTGACAGTTACAGGTACAAAACGTACGGCTTATAACCGAAAACCACCACCCCAAAAAAGGCCAAGCTCAGCTCAACAAACGTATCACCCTGCATGCATGCAAACACGACTGATTAAGCAAAGCTACTCCTTCTAATCCGCAGCTGCAGCAAAAAACTAACAAACTTGCCTTGAGAATTGAGCTCAGAATCGAATCAAATTAACTTGCACTTCTCTAGTATTAATCTTTCGCAAGCAGCCGCAAAGAAAGCTGTGAGAATTATTGGCGCGTAGGAAAGAAAGAAAGAAGAGAAAAGATTCTGTCGTTGGAGAGGAGAGGAGAGTAATTCGCCCATATCCGAAAGGCATCATCTCTCCATCCATCCATCCACCCATCCATGGTGATGATGATGATGCTGATGATTCATCCATCCATCCACCATCGTCGTCGTCGCCGCGAGCGAGCGAGCGAACGATTGATTTCTTTGCAGATTCCGAGAATTTATCCCAAACGAATCCGGCCATCATCCCCCTCTCCCTTTAAATCCACCTCCCTCCCAGCTTCGTCTCCTGCCACCGTGGAGCACTCGATCTCCAAGCTCATCTAGCTCTTCTTGCTTCAGCTTCTTCCTCTCTCTCACAGTTCATCACACTTGGCTTTTTGAGTCAGGTGCTTGTTCTTCCTGCTGTTCTTGCCTTGGTAATGCTCTTGATCTCTTCTTAGATGTAATCTTGGGTTAGCTAGCATGCAGTTCTTGGGGTTTATCTCATCTTTCTGTAGTTTAGTGTGTCAGGTTTAGTAGTAATTGTTCGTCGAGAAAACAAAATGATATATGGGTTGGATGAATGGAGAAGAATGTGGTTCAGTTCAGTGTGATCATCTTCTTGTTGTGGCTCTGAATCGAATGAGCTGTGAATTTGGTGAATTTGCAGGCATATGCAGGACCAGCTGATCTGCAGCGGCTGCAGGCGCGTCGTCCAGTACAGGAGAGGGGTCGCCGGCGTCTGCTGCCCGGGCTGCAACACGCTCACCGCCGTCAACCCGTCAGCGGTGGCCGACATGTCGGAGCTCATCTGCAGCGGCTGCCCCACGCTGCTGTTCTACAACCGCGGCGCCTCCAACATCCGCTGCCCCAGCTGCAACAGGCTCAACTCCACCAGATCAGGTGAATGATCATATTTTTGCACATACTATATCTTTCTCTGAAAAGATCATATTTGCAGCTGATTCAGAGCTGCAAATTGGGATGAAATTAATCTACTGAAATCTGAGCTGATCATGGATGGTTTTATTTGGTGGTTCAGCCAACCAGATTGCACACCTGACATGCGGGCAGTGCCGGACGACTCTGATGCACCCACCTGGAGCCTCAACTGTGCAGTGTGCAACCTGCAGATATGTTAACCATGTCAGGGTATGTTCTCATCTCTGAATGTTTCTACCCTCTATATTTCTCGCATCGCGCATTCGCTCTCCGGTTTCGCTCTCTGGTAGTAATCATCGTCGGCTCATCGGCTCGGTGATAACCAGGGTTGGAAATTCCGAAACGAAATTTCCGAAATTTCGGACATTTTAGACCTCTCTGATATGATATTATTTCGGCCAAATTTTTTTATTTTTTTAATTTTTTCGTGAACTTTGGTAATATTTGTTCAAATTCAACTAAATTTTATTCAAAATTTCGGAAATTTCAGACCGAAATTTCAAAAAATTTGGCATTTCCATGAGGACCGATCAAATCGGCTAAACCGAAAGGTTTAACCCTGGTGATAAATAGTTAGTGTGTTCTTGAATGATCTTTCCACAACTGAACAGCAACCTGAGTTGATCAACTGGAAAGATGGAATAACCTTTTAACTTTGCCTAGAATATCAGTAGTCGGCACAGGTTTTTCTGAAGCTGAAAATATGGAATTTTCAATTAGATTTTCTCATTTCTGTGAACAAAATTTCATGGGACCATTGACTGAACAAACCAGCACTTGCTTTTATCTTTAATTTTGCATCAACTAGGGGATGCATATGGTTCTCCTCTTCTTAAAAAAGATGACAACTTTGGTAGGTTCAGCTTGCTCCATGGTTTTTCATGGAATCAGTTCTCAAAGTAGGCATGTACCTATGATTAGCCAGCAGAACTCGATGCCTCGGCCAAGATTTTTATCTTCCAATTCCGTTATCAGGACAATGAAACTAAATGATGATGGTCCATTGGGACAAATGAAACAATCTGAATCTTATGTGATGTCAAATGTTCCATGATGACGATGCTAGCTTTGTTCTCTGAATTTCCTTTTCTTTCTCCTACTTGCAGGATGCTCGGCCTCAAACTGTCCTTGTAGAGAATCCTAAGACACTGGATGATAAGGGCAAGCTGGTAAGCCTCATCTCTAGGCTATATATCTCTACTATCTACTACTTTAAAAGACGCAGTCCTCCCATCCCACCCTACCGCACGCAGCACGAGAAAATCTTGTAATAAACCGAACCGGCCCACCCACCGCACCCTCCTTCCCGCACCGCGTGAGAGAAAAAAAAAGTGCACGTCCGACTTCCATGTCGTCTTCTCGCTAGAAAAACCGAGTTTCAGTATCAGACAAAAATATGATAGTTGTTTTTATGGGTCCATTGCAACGCCTAGACATTTAACTAGTAGTACCCTAAAACCAAAATTTCCTTCTGAATTTTTTTCTTGGAATAGCAGAAAGTTTCACTTCTGAAATGATAGCTGAAGAGTACATGTATTTCAGCTCTGAAATGTCCAGTTGATTGACTGTTCTGTTTTGTTATGGTATAGGTGAGCAATGTGGTTGTTGGTGTCACCTCATGGAAAAGATGATGAACAGGGGCTCATCTAGGGTTTAATCCCAAGGGTCTATGGATGATTGATACCCTTGGTGGATTTGTATCATTACTACAAAGCTATTGTTAAATCAAGTGTGTTTTGAAGCTTGATATAAACAAGAGAAAAACAATAGGGCAAAAAATGAAGAAAAAAATATATCCGAAATGTGCCATGTTTGTGCTTCTTTTGTGAGAAAAAAAAATGTAAATATGCTGGCTATGGTGCTAGCCTATGTGCTTTTTAGCAAAAAGGAATGGAAATGAGATGAGCAGCATTGTGTCCTGGAATTTTTATCCTCATCCTCTTTTTATTTCTGCCTTGGACAAGCTGAGTCAACATTGCACTTGCTCTCTGGGAGTTTTTGATTCTTCATGCAGTTGAAAAAAAAACTTGAAACCACTGTTGAGAAAAAAGATAGTGATGGCCACAGGAGATGAGGAATCATGCCTTGTTCTTTTACTGTGGATAGACAGATTGATCTTTCCAGGCAAAATAAGCTTCTTCAGAAAGACTTCTTAATAAGATTTGACTGTTTAGGATTATCCAGTTTAAGCTCTAGAGAAAAGGGTATATAAAGACATGGCATGGGTTGCTTTCATGGAGCTGATAAAATATGCCTTTTCTATATTGAAAAATCAAATATTAGTATTTATGAAAAAATAATTTAAGGACATTTTGATTCGTAGTTTTTTCTCATAGAAAAAATGCAGGAATAAGTCTTTTGTAGCAGTAAACACTTTTAAGAAATATCATAATGTTTTTTTTAAAAAATAAGGACTAAAAGAAATACACAAAGCAAATTTTCTGGACCTTGTAAATTAAGAAATCCCCAACCAGCTTGGTCAAAAACAGTACGAGATGCTAGCAAAGGTTGGAGTATAAGATGGCACTTGTTTGACCTTACATGTCCATATCAATATTTTTTTTCATTGACAGATTAAGTAGTATTGTCCACATCAGTTTAAATTTTCGTTGATATATTAGGCACCATTTTCCGTACCAGTTTTATTTTTCGGTCATAAATTAAGTGCCATAGTCCATATCATTTTATTTTTCATTGACAAATTAAGCACTATAGGTGACATCATATCGCCTTCATGCGAAGCTTCCATACTGAAACAACAAGATTAGAACCTTCATATACCCATGTCTGATGTGATTGGCTTCATGTATCATCAGTCCTCGTTCCAAGGATTGACCAAAACTAAAACTACTTAACGTGCGTAAAACAAATGTAAGAATGAGTCATGAATACGTGTAAAATTCAAGGACTTATCTTAATTCAGGAAGGGAAAAAGAACATAGCTCAGAAGACGCACACATACACGCACAAGCAGAAGAATATACTTCATAAATCCTCATCCTATGCTCCAAGAGACGAAAGCGTAAATCCCTTAATTCATCTGTCCCAAAATATAGCTACCTAATATAGGATGTGACATTACCTAGTACTACGAATCTGGACAGCCTACACATACATGCACAAGAAGAAGAGTATACCCTATAAATCCTCATCCTACGCTCCAAGAGACGAAAGCGTAAATCTCTTAATTCCTCTGTCCTAAAATGTAGCTAATGTGACATTACCAAGTACTACGAATCTGGACCTAGTACAGGAGGCTGTCCAGATTCGTAGTACTAGGTAATGTCTCATCATGTACTAGTTAGCTATATTTTGGGACGGGGAAGTATCTTATAACGTAATCGAGTGTGCTTAATATTTATGTGTACCAACAAATTGTAAAAGTAGGATGTGTATGTGTGGTGTGCTTTGGTGTATGCATGTGCGCATATTCTATTCAATTAAATGAAAATACACATATATGGAGCACCGATCGAAGGCAAAACCCATGTTCATATATAGGAATTTAAAATAAAAATACAGCAAAACAAATCCTCGATCTTAGCCCCAATAAAAAATAAAAAATCAGCTCGTGATCTATTATAGCTCAAACTACAAGGTAATAAAAAAACCTATTAAACCGACAAATTTTAATCAAACCTGATGAACAAATCAAGGCAAAACGAATTAAACTAACATTATATAACACCTACACATCGTGAGATCCATGCATCATCAGAGAGAGATTCCCAAATTAGTCAACCCCAATGCCAAGATTACCACCCTCATTATCCTCCGCATTATAATCACCTGACCAACCTTAATTAATTAAGCTAAATTTCACGCTAATCCTAGCAACTAACCTCCCCCGCATTAAGCCTAAACTTCGTAACTAACCCCAGCTTTTTTTTTTGCAGAAAAGCCCCTCTAATCCGCTGCCGTCCGTTGAAATATTTACATTTTGGTCCTCGTGATGAGTCTGAATTAGCATATAGGTCCCTCCCTCCCAAGCATTTCTTCCTTCCCCCCAAACGCGTTGATTCCGATGCCAATGGCGGCCGCGGCCGGCGCCGGCGAGCCGTCGCCGTACGCGGAGGCGGCGGGATCCGACCTCGCGAATGCGCGGGCGCCGTCTCCCGTGGTCGGCAAGCACCTCCCGTCGGGCGCCGTGCCGCGCCACGCGTACGTGTTCGACGGCGAGGGGGGGTTCGCCGACGCGGCGTGGGACGTCGCGGCGGCGGCGCCGGGGGCGTTCACGTGGCACCACATCGAGCTCCCGCGGCAGCAGCCCGGGGGCGCCGCCGCGAAGCCGCTCCACCACGCGCAGGCGCTGATCGAGCTGCTCTGCCCGCCGCTCACGCTGCAGGAGATCCTCGCGTTCGTCGCCACGGGCCCGCACTGCGGCGTCGTGGACGGCGGCGGCGGCGGCGGGGCGGGCGCGCTCCTTCTCCGCGTGAGCTCGCCGGGGCCGGTGGGGAGCGCGTTCGCGCTCCGCCTCGCCGCGCGCGTCACGGACAGCTCCGTGGTGACCGTGTCCGTGGGCGGCGTCCCGCGCCTCGCGTTCGGGACCACGCAGGCGTCGCTCCTCTCCGAGGTGCCGCTCGGGGTGACCGCGTCGCTCTCCGACGAGGGCCACGGCGGCGGGCGCGCCGTCGAGGGCGGGGTGGTGATCGAGGAGCGGCTGCTCGAGTCGCTGCTCGCCATGAACCACGCCGACGGCGCGCACACCGACAACCCCGTGCCGCGGACCGTGTCCAACCTCCTCGTGCACGTCCTGGGAACGCACGTAGACCACGTCCACGACATCGTCACGCGCCTCGAGATGGAGCTCGACAGCATCGAGCTGCATCTCGACAAGGGTAGGTGGAGGTTGCTTTCTTGACTAGTAATCGCATATAAACATAAATCAAATTATTAGGGTTCTAAGAACATCTCCATTCGTTAGACAAAGTTGGTGCCCTTTTTTTCCCTTTTCTGGTGATGTTGTTAGGTAGGACGAACTAGCTTCTTCGTTACGTCTGTTGTTCATGATTATGCACGAGAGAAATTTATTGTGCTTTGCTTTGTTCTATGGGCTCATTGGATTACACTAAACTGGAAGTCTAAAAATTGGGAATTTGTCGAAAATTATCGATTCTGTTGTGATTGTCCATCCGCATTGGGGCGGCAACTTGATGAAAAACTCCTATGATTGGAAGGAGGTTGCTGATGCTATTGAATTGATTCTTGATTGTTACTGTTCCATGGAGAAGTTCCAATTCCATATTCGTGCTTAAATTGATTCTGAAGCGGTGTATTTCCTTTTAGAGGTGATTTCGGGTGTGTTTAGTTCCCACCAAAATTGGAAGTTTGGTTGAAATTGGAACGATGTGACGGAAAAGTTGGAAGTTTGTATGTGTAGGAAAGTTTTGATGTGATGGAAAAGATGGAAGTTTGAAGAAAAACTTTGGAACTAAACCCAGCCAATAAATTATAAATTTGGGGTGAAGTAAGGTCAGAGAAGAAGGAAAGGTCATCAATTTATAGTTTGTTATGTATGGTGGAATGAAATTTCTGAATGTCATGTTGGCAGCAACCGTATTTCCTGAAATGCCATGATTATATTGCTAGCTGTGATTCCAGATGGGATTCATTTCACATGATCAGTATGTGCAACAGAATATTTTCTGAGATGGATTTCTCACGTAGTCTATGGATATCTGTTCTACTTCTACATAGGTTAATGTCAATGGAAGTCAATGTGAAGTCTAGTTTATTTACTACTAGCCAAACTTATGCTCAAATTTGTTATAGCATTCTGCAGATGTTATTCTTTCTCTTAATGGGCTTTGAAGGTATTTATGATATTTCTGTGAATCTTGCTTGCAGGTGGTCACTTTATGAGGAAACTTTTGTTGGATGGAAGGAGATTCCCCAAAATGCATCTTGATCTACAGCGCCTGCTTCAGGTATTTTCTGAGATTTATCTCAAATTGCTAAAATGGAGTTCAATGTATGAGTATGTTATTGTTCACTGGATCGGGAACGCATAATAGAAGTCATGGGCTTTAATGATTTCTTGCCTAGGTTGTTTCTCATGGTGACCAAGTATTCCCCCGTGTAAAGGAAAAATGTGCGAGCAAGAGTTGGTTTGCGAGTGAAGATATTGTTGCTCTTGAAGATCTGATAGGCCGTCTTAGGAGGCTGAAGGAAAATCTTGGATTTATAACGAATAGGGTGACTACACTTCAAGCTAGTCTAGATAGCTGGCAATCTGAGCAGATAAACAAAAGCTTGTACTATCTTTCATTTTTGTCCATAATATTCCTTCCTCTATCCATTGTCACTGGAGGTATGTTCCCATGCGTATTTCTGATGCCATTTATTGCTTAAGGTCTCCAATTTACATGATCTGCTGCAATGTTTGTGCAGTTTTTGGGATGAATGTTGGTGGTGTGCCATGGACTGAGCAGAAAAACCCTGCAAATCTAGATGGCTTCTTCAATGTCATGTTAATATGCGTCGTGATCTTGTTGATCCTGCTGCTTTGTTTCTTATTTCCTTCATTGTATTCACACGTGTCGGCATGGAGAACCCGCCGTGCACTGGCCCGGAGCAGTTCTCAGAACAAGAGACATCTGAAACTCTTTAAGGGTCACAAAGATGGTTACATGCGCCTCTGAGAACAGAAATGCAGGTAACTGGTAATATATGGTTTTCCATAGGAATCATAATTATCAGTTACTAGTTGAGATTATTGCAGTCTTCCCATGGATTGATAATCTCCTTACAATCTCTATATTGATGCAGGTTCTCCATGTACTTAGCCAGCACATGGATGCCTTTGTAATATGGAACCATAGATAGAAAATCCAACGCGCTCATGTTGTCAGCAAGCAAAGTTGACAGAAAGATAAGTTTATTGATGTGATTGTAACATTGGCAAGAGGAAATCCTAGATAGTCATTCGCACATGTACAGCTTTTGATTCAGAGCCTCTACTGGAGGTTCATATCTTTTTCATTGCTTAGTTCTTTCCTTTGTTTCTTGGGAAGCTTGTGAATGTGGTGGTTTGTTTCCCTGTAAACTTCAGCATTCTATGAGTCATGACTGTACACATTGTTTTCATTCCCTGTGGTTCAATCTTCATATCTATTGTTGTTAACTGTACACATTGTTTTCATTCCCTGTGGTTCAACCTTCACTATGAGCAATTCGGTGTGTTTTTCTTTACTGAGTCATGACTTCATATATGCTTTACTGAGTAGTGACTTCATATATGGTTGGCGCTAGAGTTTGCCAGCGCAAGTGCCATTAACTGTGAGTCAGTTTCACTTCATGTTGGAGCATGGAAGAAAACCCTCCAGATTGTACATCAGGTTGCAATCTGCCGGCAAGAATGTCTGTAAAATTTACTGGTTGGAGTCGTCGATCGAATTTGTTTGCAATTTGGGAATAGCCCTCGCCAGAATGTGTACCAAATCATCGATCGAATATGTTTGGAATTTGGGAATACGCCTCGCCAGAATGTTACAGAGCACGGCATCTATTCTATGGAGAAATCATTGTTAATTGTTCATTGAGGCTGTAAGTGAAGCATTCTTGAAACGATAAATCAAAGATTGTTTCGCTGCGCACAATATTTTCCTCGTCTGGCAGTACATTTAGAGCATAATACTCCATCCGTCCCAAAATATAAGGAGTTTTAATTAGACGAGACACATCTCAATACTGTCAAGTCTAACCAAAACTCCTTATATTTTGAAAGGGAGTGAGTACATAGTAACGTACTAGATGAATCAATTAACAACTATTCTAAATTTTCTTGTTTTCACTAACGTTGCCGCATCAATGAATATACGCAAGCCGGCACAGGTCGGCTTCATCGATTAAACAAAATTTAGACAATTTGTTTGAAATGTGGGAACAAGGTTGGCCAGAAAGGTACAACAGAAAACATATAACAACACAATCGATTGATTCACGTTGTTGGCAACTTCGATGTGTCGATGGAGCAACATTCATCTGATATATGCAGTGACGATTCCTCACCCACAAAAAGAAAGTTCACAAATGCAAATGATACATCTGAAGTACATTTCCCAGTCTGCAGTACGAACAAAAAAAAAAGATTGGTCCAATATATTACTCCCACTCCATTAAATGGCAAAAAGAAATGGAGTAAGTGAGACTCATTTGGAGGACAAACTGCAAATGTTACTCTCACTTTTAGGCACAACTTCGTACGAAAATGTTGCTTACAGTAGAACTTCAAATGGCAACTCTCCCAGATAGAAACGGGTGTACACGGGGTAACAGTGGAAACTATCTTCTAAACCCTGTAATTCATAGCAGGGGTGTCATATACAGCATGCAAGTCAATAAAAGATGCAATTATAAGGTAGAGAAGATTTCTTATGTGATACTTGGTGAGGCTTATAACATTTCAGATATAAAATTGTTCGAGTTTTTAGCACTAGATTATACTAGCAAATAAGGAAAATCACAACTCTGCATCTCTATTCGATTCATCAGGACTAATCTGTTGTCAGCATATTTTATTAAGGCCAACATCTGGGGACTATATGCTGTACCTCAATCCAACTTCAATTCTGTCTGTGCAACTGTACATGAGAAGAATGATCTGCGAACAAAATGCAAGATGTTAATCATAAGGGACTCATCAAAGTGTTGACAGAAAGATTCAGACCAATACATTATTCATCGTAGAAGAGCAATACCACTTGTTACACCAGTAGAAACAATTCTATCAATGTTATCTATACGTCTTTGTATGGAGCGCAGGAGCATGTTCAGAGCTAAAACTCTCTTGCGAATAGAACAAATCCTTGTGGCTTGTTGCATTATGACCGGGGAGGGTGCATTCTCTAATAGCTTGTCTAGTTCTGCAAAAGAATAAAGGTAATTTCATATAATTCATTAGTGCATGTACAAAGGGCCATGGAGAAACCGCATTTTGAAATAACATATTTGATGTGAGGCAAACTGAGCAAATATCAACATTTTTTTAAGGGAGGACCGGAGGAAGAATCAGATGTAGAAAATGTAGATAAACTACCTCGAGGAATATAGACAGATCAAAAAAATAGGCAGGTCAACCAAAATTGAATTCGTACTTTGTCATGCATGGACAGTATGGATATCCCAAAAGTTTCTGACTATGTTGATCTTCATAATAGCAATTCCCTTACTAGGATTTACAAGTTCATACATTCATGTTTAGGGTGAAATTAAATACAAATAACCTCTCTAAGTCCCAATCATAAACATATCAAACAACCAAATGAGGATTCAATTTATGATTGGAACTAAGAACCATACAAGTACAGTCAGTAAATCTCCTGGTTCGCTAATTTATTGTACAGTATACTACAAGGTTTAATAACAAAAGATGAATGGCATGTTCCGTGAACTAGTTCAACTCCACACAAGAAATCGTACTGCATGTCTGCATCAGTTTAACAGCTATTTCAATAAGCCAATCATAACAAGTTTTGCAATAAGGAAAAAAATGGAGACGATCTTTAGCAATGTTACGATTTTGAAATAAATATAGAACTAATTTCAACTCATCCAAACCACTTGAATACAACTCTAAACCAAAAAAGAAATCCTCTTGAACTAACATGAATATCCAATCATCCATGTAGCAAACAGATAAAAGTTCAGCGGGAACGGACACGAAAATATCTACCTAATGCTGGAAACAAGAAGACTATATCAGTAATTCAGTATCAAAATATCCAGACAATTAGAGACGTACTTGTCCATATTGCATAGCTTGTAAAGAAGATTGTACTCGATACTAGCACAATTCACAAAATGCGTGAACTATAAGCATAATTCGTTAATTATTGGTTCACGTATGCCGCAAGCTAACGCCTTAGTGCATCAGAACATTTCTACGAATCAATCACATAGCAGAAAATCGTCAACGCAACTCGAACGACGATTCCTACACCATAAAAGGCACACAAAACCCTAGGAGTCGACGAGCCTACACAGCAGCAGTAGGAAGCAAAGCAACGGAAGTCGCGGGGGGAAGGCTCGGAGAGACAGGCACGCACTCACCTCCGTTGAGCCGGTCGACGGCGGCGGCGAGCTCGCCCTGGCTCCGAGCGGTGGCCGCCGCGCACGCCTCGTGTTCCTGCAGCGCGCCGCCCAGCACCCCCGCGATGGCCCCGGCCAGAGCCTCGCACCGCTCCGGCTGGGCCGCGGGCGCGGCGGCTCGCTCGTCGTCGTCGTCGCCGGCGGCAGCTGCGGCGGATGGGGAGGCGGCGGCGGGTGGATCGGAGCCGTCCATTGGAGCGGCGATGCCATCGAGGGGGGCTTCAGATTGGGGACTAGAAGCGAGAAAGTGCGAGACGGTGATGGGCCTCCATGTAATGGGCCCACATTTGGATGTGAAATGGGCTGTGCGGTTATATTTGGGCCTAATTCAGTCTATGAATAAGTTCACTTTATATCCCTCAAATTATCGCTGAGTTTAAAATTCATCAATCAACCACAATAATATGCATCGTTAACATTGAACAGTATGCAATGAGTAGCTAGAACTGATCCTTCCAACGCAGCGTACCAAGAAAAGCTACCAGAACACAGAGGTCGAAACACCGTGAAAGCAGCGAAATAAACGAAAAATATACGTTCATGAACATGATTTAGACGGCTTCCATCTAATCTTTCCACGCTACATCTAAAACAGATTTAAACAACCTATCCAATGTCACACCATTGCTCACGATATGAAATAAACGCAAAATTACTTAACCGCAATGAACAGCAAATTCAAAATTTGCAAAATATCTCCAAACTACATACTCCTAGGGCTTATTTAAATCAAACTGTTTTGAGCTGCACCTCTCAGAAAATAAACTAGAGAACCAAGATGTTTCAGCTTCGCCTTAAAAGGGATCAGAACAGACTGGTATGCTCTCAAATCATATGCTTTGTTTAGTTCCTAACTTTACTTTTCCATCACATGCACACATAAGCATTTCAAAACTTAAAAGCCAACATTAAAAAAAAATTATGTTAAAAGCATTTCAAAATCAAATTTTGGTTTATTCTTTAGCTGTTTAGGCCAAACGATAGGGCTAATAAACTTCCAACTTTTTTCTTCAAACTTCCAATTTTTAGTCAAGCTTCCAATTTTAGCATGAAACTAAACACAGCCATAGACTAGAGAGCAGGGTTCAGGCTGCTCTCCAAAGCCAACTCTTGAGTTAAATTTGGAAGTTAAACCCTGCAAAACAGGCCCTAAGTAGAACAACAAACAAGCTACCACAGGAAGCAAGAACCAGCCGAAGAACTGCAGACATGCAAAACAATGTTAAGCTTCTAAAGAAAAAGTAAGGCCTGTCCAGGCTGAGCATCAGCGTCTCCAGGGAAATTCCTACACTGAAACCATCAAGCAAGCAATAACGCAGAGATCAACACACCAATGCTAACAGATAAAGCAGCAATCAATAGATGTTACCACAGAGCCAACAAAGCAATTACTCAACGGTAGGTAAACATTAGCAGCAAATACGGCTCCATAACAAGTTCACATAACTGAACCGACATGTCTTGGTGCAAAACTCTTGGTAAAACTAGGGATATAAGATGATAACAGCACAGGTAAATAAGCCATTCAACAGTCGAATGGTGGCACCACGCCAAGCAGCTTGACATATCAACGAGCTTGGCAGCCGAAGACATGGATCACTGCGACACGCCATCACCATGATCGCCCATCTCCTTCGCCTACTTAGATCTCTGCCTCATCTTTCGGCGCTTCCTCTTCAGCCTCCTCATGCGCTTCTTCTTCCACTGAATACAATACAAACAGAAGTATCAGATCACAGAAAGTTAACTGATGAAAATTAGCCGATAAGCATGGTAGCATAGCTAAGAAACTGCAAAAGATCACAACACAGTAGCCTTCTCTCAAAGAACACAAGGGTGAACAGAAACTGGAACGCAGAAGCAAGAAGCAACATAGCATCACAGCAAATTTAGTTGATTTAAATTCATTGCTTGGGTGATTCAAGAATGCCAGCATAGACATTGTTGAACAAACCAACTGAAGTAGGGGCATCATGGATGGCAAAATGGCAATACAGATTGACAAAATACAGAATGACAATTTCATATTACAAAGTCTATCAAATCATGAATGAATGATTAAGATGTACTTCCCTGGATAAGCTTTGCACCACAAAAATAACTACTATGAAATGGTAACTTAGGTAATCACCGATAATGCAGTTATGTAACTGAATTTCATGTTCACAGGGAATTGAAAGCATTCATAATTTCCTACTGAAACTACAGCAGGAATAGCATATAGACAGTGAGCATCACATAATTACTGATCAACTTAACAGCTACTATTAGTATATAATAGTTATAATTTCCTACAGACAGTACTACGGAGTATTATTTAAACAGTGAGCACCACAAAATTAATGAGCATCTTCAGCATCTAATGGATAAACCTAATTTCCTATGCTAACTGACAAACGGGTAATCCAAGCAAATATCACGCACCATCCATCAGATGTTGCAAGAACAGGAATTCAGCTCGCCAACCAAATACCATCATAAAAAATACCATCATAAAGGGGGCTCATATCAAGTGTATGCGTTAAAAACGAAGCCTTCATCGTGGCAGGAAACCCCCTCACGAGACAGCAACCCACCACCACGCGCCATCCATTCCTCCCCCAGAAATGAACTTATAACCTTATGAAACGGAGGAAGTAGCAATAACATTTTGGACGGGGAGGGAGTAGTACTAGCATGGTGAGCCATGGATGCAACTACCGAGATACCCAAGCCAACATCGCGATGGGGCGGCACCTCGGGTTCCATCCACTCCACCGCCGTGAACACACGGGGTGCTCGTGGGGAGGAGGGGGGCACACGGCGAGATCCGCCGCCTCGCTAGGGTTTCCCGTGAAAATTCACCACTCGAGCCTCTCTCTTTGTAATCACAGCCCCCGACCAACCAAGAACAAGCACGGCGACGACGCAACAACACATGGGCGTAGACAGCCTAGGGAGGAGGAGGAGACGGCGGGGAGGTTGGTTACCTTGGCCCTCATGGTCGCCTCCTCGTCGGCTTCTTCTTCTTTTTCGGCGGCGGCGGCGGCGGTGGGAAAGGGAGGAAGTGGGAGAGAGGCGGCGCGTGGTGGTATATATAGGTGCTTCGGGGGAAGCAAACCCTAGGATGGTGGAGAGGCTTCGGGAACGTGGGCTTGGGCCGCTTCGGCCCGTCTTGGCCCAGTGAGAACAGCCCGTGTTGTTGGGCCTAGGCTGCGATAACTTGGGCCAAAACCCCGAGAAGTATAAACTCTTCCCTTTTTTTCCTGTCAAAATTTGGAGTGATTCTGGTTTGCATGGAAATTCAAGTTAGTTAGATTATAAGAAAGTTGTAATAAAATTTGGTCAAAATTTTATTACCATAAGCACTTTGTATAGAGTTATTAGTCATGTTTTTTTTAATATGTGCCAGTTGTATTAGACATTACCACAGCAATTTTAGGCTCTGTTGTGGAATTTGGATCAGTAAACCTGGAAATAAAATTAGAACAATTAACCAAGGGATAACATAAAATTTAAATCTAAATATGACCTGCTATCCAAGCCTCCAATGTGAAATGTTGAATTCACTGCTGAAACTCTCTATGCATATGGAGAGAGTACAGCTTAGGCTAAGTTCTTCCCCCAGGTTACCAACTCTTCTCTCTCGTTTTCCGCGCGCACGTTTTTCAAACTGCTAAACGGTGCGTTTTTTTTAAAAAAAAATATTCTATATGAAAATTGCTTTAAAAAATCAAATTAATCTATTTTTGAAAAAAATACTAATACTTAATTAATCACATGCTAATTGACCGCTCCGTTTTCCGTGCATGGGGCATCGGTTCCCAACCAGAACTAGCGAACAGAGGCTTACTATAGGCTGTATAAATTTTAGCAAAAAGCCAAATTAGTTGTGGGAAAAGAAGGATCTTTCTGTGATGAAAAGAAAGCTGTGGGTAAATTCATCATGCAAATTGTTAGCACAATATTATATTATAACTAATGATAGTTATTTTTTTAGATAAATGGAAGCATTGCCGTTTTAAGATAATGGAAGAGATTTACACTGAGATTTACAGCCTGAATCATGCATGTATCATAGTACTCCGTATTTGTCTCGCATACTACTAAAATTCCAGACAAATAATAATAATAGTGACGTACTACTAAAAGTTATGATAGTCTGTACTTTTTGGAGTACCATACTTTGGTTAGTACTCTGGATACTATTCACATAAATGTTGTCAGCTAACCGATGACCAACAAAGCTTAATTTGCTCCCGGTTCATCCTACCAGAAGCACACTCTCATCTCATCCTTATCATGTGACAATTTTAGCCGTTCTATGTGGTAGTACCATAAACATTCACCATCTACATGATAACTATATCTATTTCTTTTTATAATAGAAATCAGTCCAGCCTCTGCATCGAGATGTATAATAGCATTGGTGAGAAATACCCGGGGGTCTTCCGGCTAGCTCCATAAGGTGGTGGGCTAGATGACCTGGGTTCGAAACCTCGCCCCTTCTAATTATTTGATATTAGATCCTTTCCTAACATTTGCGTCTTTATAATAGCATTGGTTAAGATGCGACTGATAAGCTTATAGAAATATGAACGAAAAGCTAAACATAATTTATTAATAAAACTTTTATATCTATATTATTCACAATTTAAAAACCAATACTAAAAAATAGACTATAATAAAAAAGGTAAAATCAACACTAAAATTGTGGATGCTGCTGATAAACCGAGAAATCATATCTATTCAAAATTCACCATGCCGAACAAAATGGGAGGAATTTCTTTTGTGTAAACCAATGGGGGAGACTTGGCGTGGCAACTAAAAAAAGAGACATGTTGTGGGCACTTGCATACACCAATATGATCCAAATCCATCACTCTCTCTCCAAAAGAAATCCTGGTTGCTTGTGCATGTGCGTTAGGTTTGGTCACCTGTTGCTGCAGCCTTGCAAGTTGCTAACTACCACTTCATGCAAACCCCAGCATACCATATTAACTGATCTGCTGCCAAAAACTGAAAGAGAGAGGAGGCAAAACGCACTGCTCACCAACCTGCAAAGAGACGCATGAACCGGCAGAATTTAAGCATGAGCATTGGAGAGTTCATGGTGCTACTCCTATCTATGATGGCCTCTCTGTTTCTCCAGCTTGATTGGAGACTATGGCCAAGACAAAAAAGATGCAATCTGGTAGGCCTAATTGAGCATTTTAGTCAAATGGTAGTAGCTGAGATTAGGCAGCTTATAAATGATGGGTCCTTTTTGGGATTGTTGATTTGTGGAGCCATCTTCATTTAAACTTTGATTAGGCACTTTGGATTAGTACCTTTTTATTGAATAAAAATGGACAGGTGGCAACATTTTCAGGTTTCAATTGAAAAACATCTGATTTGTTGTTAGGGGATCTCTCCCTCCAAAATTCATAACAAGATCTTGAATGTTATTCCCAGGACTTGTGTAACATGTTTGACAGGAGTGAGTCAGCGATCACTATTCATGTACTATCTCCGTTTTTTAATAGATGACGCCGTTGACTTTTTCTCACATGTTTGACCATTCGTCTTATTCAAAAATTTTATGCAAATATATAAGATATAAATCACACTTAAAGTACTATGAGTGATAAAACAACCTATAACAAAATAAATTATAATTACATAAATTTTTTGAATAAGACGAATGGTCATACATGTGAGAAAAAGTCAACGGCGTCATCTATTAAAAAACGGAGGGATTATATGATTTGTAACAGTATAACTCTGCCATGCTGCCACCTTCAAACAGAAGTCAAATGTAGACCAAACAAAATTTGAAAACAACCCCCAGGCTCATTCATGGGAAATCAAGTTGGTACTGAAAGTTTGTTAATGACAACCTAAGCATGCCTGATCTGACAAAACAACATGAGCATGTCAAACCGGTTGCCTGAAAATGCGTAGCAGGTGAGGCTGCACAAGAACAACGCCTGATTTGATACTGCTTAACAATACACGTGTACCCAACAGTTGGCACGAAATGGTGATGAGCATTCCATAGATAACAAAACACAGGGATATTTGTAGTCTATAGTTCAGTTCACAAGCTTGCATCTCAGAATGGTAAGAGACAATGTACACTTCTTTTTATCAGCAATTTGTGTCAAAAAACAATGAAATTTGCCCTTACAGGAAGGCTTCCAGGATTTCCAGCATATCAAGATCACTGCTTATGGTTTTGCTAGAAAATAACAACAAACCTTTGAAAATAAAAAGAGAAAAAAATAACAAATGAGTGACTGTGGAAGCGGTATCGCACCAAGATCCTATACCACTAACTAAAAAAATCAATATATCGACGATTCAGCAGAATTATTGATCAGCAAGCTATATTTAGTTTGACCCATATCCGCGTGGATGTGACTTTTGCCATCTCCAAGCGACTGACAGGCTCTCCTTGAGGTCGGTATATTGAGCAGTCCAGTTGAGCTCCGTGTTGATCTTTGTTGGGTCACTGTATACTTCAGCATAGTCCCCTGGCCTCCTGCTGAGGTACTCAATTTTAATGTTGACTCCAGTTGCCTTTTTGCAGGCATCCACAAACTCCTTGACTGAACGACCTGAAAGCAATCATACATATATTAGAATATACTATTGACAGCACAAGAAATGCATGAGTAAAAATGCAGAATGGAGATAATTTGACAAGAGAAGTCAATTTTTCATAAGCATACAATAAAAAATTATTCTACCAGAATAACCATCTGTGTGTATTCCAGCGTAAAAATTTGATGTAAAATAACCAACAAATGCAGCATTTAATTAAAATCTGATTCTGTCCTAGCATGAGCGAACTGCATTTAATCAAAGTAAATAAAGAAAGCTCATATTGTCAAACCTCTTCCAGTGCCAACATTGTAAATGCCAACTTTACTTGGCTCTGCCTTGTTGAGTGCTTTCACATGAGCATCAACAAGATCTGTGACATCAATGTAGTCTCTTATGCAGGTTCCATCAGTTGTAGGATAATCTGTTCCTTTAACCTGCAATTGATTCATGAAGTATCAGCTTCAAATCTAAATTATCTTCTGTAGTTTCAGTCTCTGGATACAGGTATAATACTTCAAAAAACAAGTATCTTCTAGATGGGTATATCATATTGCTATTATCAACATCCAAAGCTGATATATGGTAGTAATACACTAAATTATGCTTTACACCAGGGGTACTGTACAGTCAAAGTATAAGAGAAAATACCTTCAGCCCTGGAATGATTCCTAACGCAGCATCAAAGCATGCCCCGGATATCCTTCCATGCTCTCGTAGTTCAGGTCTAGGAGCTTCACCTAGTCTTCCCTCTGGGTCTGATCCAATAACATTGAAATATCTAATGCAAAAGGTGACATGTTAGTACATACCAATTTTGTGTTCAGAAATTGCAAGCCTATATCCATGGAAAAACAACATACCTTAAAATCATCACAGCCATGTCCTTTCTCCCCTTCGTGAAATCTAGTATGATGTCCTCCGCCATTTTCTTAGCTTTTCCATAGGGATTAATTGGTAACTGTAACAGAGTAAATTATTAACCAATTAGGTACATAATATTTACACATCAGCCTTGAGTTTGCCTTTCCAGCAACAAGATGAAATAGCACAGCACAATCCAAACACTGCAGTTTTGAGGCCATCATAAATTAATTACCTGACGTGTGGTTTCTACAATAGGCATCTTCTCTGGTTCTCCATAGGTGGCACATGTACTAGAGTAAATAAGGGTCTTGACTCCATGAGACGCCATAGCCTCCAAAATCAATAAGGTGTTCGATGTAATATTGTGATAGTACCTGTTAAATACTTAAGATTATCAGAGATATACTAGACATGTTTCAGATATATTATACAGTTCATCATATCTGTGATAGCAGATAATATAAATATCTGAGAACTAAAAATCAGAAAGCACTTGATTATGGAGTTAACATTGTAGCATACCAAGTACCATGGATTAATAGTGAAAACTGTTTTTTATCATAAGGACCTTTTCCCCTAGCACTACAATTAGGCCATTAGACAAGGGTGTGTACAATGGTAACGTCT